AGGGTTTTGGTGGGGTTTGAAGAATGAGTAGGAGTTTTCCCGGAGGAGATGGAGGAAAGTAACTGATGCCAGAGGGAATGGCACAAACAAAGTCCAAGAGCCTGATACACTCACAGAGCTTGTGTTGGGAGAGGAGGCTCAACATGGAGGGTCTGGGGGAGTGGACTCCAGAAAGGGGAGGAGGGGAGCCTTTGGAAAATAAGGTGGCCCTGGTTACACGTGACCCCATTGGTTTCCTGACCTACTCTGAGAACTGGCCATGTGGAGGCTACAGGTCGTGCCTGGGAGGGGAAACTGGATGTATGAGGTCAATCACAGGAGAGAAGGGGTGCCAGAGGGGTTGAAAGAGCTGCCCAGGGCCACACAGTGAGAAGCGATGGCTGGGGCTGGCCTTTGATAGACCAGACCTGGCTGATGGGGAAGCAGGAGGCATGGAGGGCTGCTTGTCACCACTCTTTCCCCACAGGACACTGACAGAACTTCTGAAGCAGCCTGGCCCCCAGGAGCCACTGCCTCCACCTCTGGACCCACCTCTGGGTAGTTGTGTCCAGGTGCAGATGGGCGATGGCCTCCCCCGGGGCTCCCTCCACAGGAGCACAGGTGAGTAGACTAGCGGGAGGGTGTTTGCTGATCTACAGCACAGAGCCGCCCTTGTCTGAGGAGGGCCTGGGAGCAGGGGAAGGGGTGTGCTGAGGCTGTGAGCTGTTTCCCAAATAGAAGTGAGCCGCCTGCCTCTGCAGGTGTGTGAGTGGGCAGTGGGCAAGCTAGTCAGCTCCTCTTGTTGGCCAGGGTCCCTCGACGGGTCCTGCAACGTCCAGCCTCAGGGACTCTGTGAGGAAGGTTCTAGATTCGGGGATCCCCAGCTCAGGCTCTGGGGTCTGCCTGGTTCTAGGCTCTGGCTCAGTGCCCTGGGGTCCGACTGGCCCACGGCTGTGGCCTCCTGTGGGCCTCTTCCTTCAGGCTGGTGCCTCCCTCTTGGACTCCTGCTGGTGAAGCAGGCTTGACAGCACCTCCCCTCCCCCCAGTATGGGTTCCAATCCTCAAATATTCTCTTCATCTCTGGGAGAAGCAGGTCCTGGGCCTCAGTGCCAGGCTCAAACGTTACGTGCTGGCAAGTCTTTTGTTAGATGAGCACCGGCTCAGGGCTGGCCACTGTTACTCACATTATTCTGAGCCAGGCCCTGTCCTAGGCACTGGAGAGTCTGTCTTCAAGAGTCAGGTTCTGCTCTCAGGCTCCAAGGCGTAAGTTCATAAGTCATCTCACAAGCTCTCATTGAATCGTAGCTGGGGAGTGGGCTGCGAAGAGGTGGTAGTGCAGGGGCAGGGTGACCTCCGGTCAGCGGGCCGAGTCTCATCTCCTCCCTCCCCCATCCAGACAAGAAACGCCCCATCAACGTGCCCCTGGCTTCGGCGACAGCGGGGCCCCCGCGCGCCCCGCGGCTGCAGGGCGGCGGCAGCCTGACGAGGCAGCCGGACTACGCCAAGTACGCCACCCTAAAGGCAGCCGCGCTCAAGGCCGCAGGTGAGTGGCCAGGTTTGTGCCCGGAGCGCCGGGCCCACCGCACCCGGGGTGTCCAAGCTCCAAGACTGCAGGGCTCGGGGTCCCAGTTCGAGTTCTAAAGTTCCCAGCTTCCGCATCGCGCCTACGCCAATCGGCTGCCACGCCTCGGCCGTACCCCCCCCCCCCACCCCGATCAGGCCGCCTGTCTGGGACGCCGTCGCCGAATCCGGAGCCGCGGGCCTAGGAAGCCCTAGTCTCCAGCGGCCTTTTCCCGTCCTACCCCCTCCCCGGTGGGGCTGAGACCCAGGCCCCTGCGGACTGTCCCAGCCGGGAGGCTCTGAGGCCCCGCCCCCGGAGCCTGACCACGCCCGCGACCCACGCCCATCTGTCCCCGCAGAGGCCTCCCCGCGGGACTTCTACCAGCGTTTTCCCGCGACTGAAGCTGCCCCGCCGACCCTCCCGGCGCGATCCCGGAGGCCCCCCGAGGACTTGCCTGCACTTCTCGACGCCTGCCCCTGGGCCCCGCCGGGCTACGTGCCCCCCGCCGGCCCCACCCCATCGGGCCACTACAAGGCCTGGACGGCTGGCCGCCCGGCCCAGCCCGCCCCCCGCGGCCACCTGGCGGCTCATGCCTCCTCAGCGCCCCGGAGGCCCGGCGACGCACCCCGGCGCCAGTTCAGCGTGGAGAAGCTGCCCGAGGCCTTCAGCCCGCAGCCCCCTGGCCTTTATGGCCGCGCCAGCCGCGGACCCAGGCACCTGAGCACCAACAGCAAAGCCGAGGTCACCGTGTGAAGAAGAGGCCGCTCGTTCTGAGGCACTGCACTGCCAGGAGCCCTCTTCTGCCTGGGGGACTCGCCATGGGCTTGATCGGGGGGCCCAGGCTACCGGAAGGAGGGGTGCTGGCCATGAAGGCCAGCCCTTCTCCCTGCCCACTGGACTAGGAGCCTCGGAGCCTGCAGGGCTCCTGGGCCCACTTGGGTAAAGCCAGTGGTTCTGTCCTAGGGGCCTTAGGGCCCGGGTTCCTTGTGTAAATAAACCCTTTTCTGTGACTCCCAACCCTGAGAATAAAGGAGCCCCAGCTTGGCTCTGCGAGGCACTGATGGCGGAGGCACTGGTCATTGACGGGACAGACGGCAGTGCCGGCAGAGGGCACAGCATGTGCAAGAGCAGAGGACTGCTCCTGAAAGCTGGTGGGCAAAGGTTCTGGGAGCCAGGGAGAAGTAGCCGGAGAGGGTGGTCAGGGCTGAATGCCAGACTTAATGTCCACACCAGTAGGAGCCACGGGAGAGGGCGCAGTTAGGCCCCAGCCATCTTGAGGCTGGGCACAGGGGAGAGGGCTGGTGGACTCCCGAGGGTCCATGCCCCTTAATGGAGGTGAGCCCCTTCCAGCCGGTCACCTGCTCTACAGCTTGAGTTGGCTGAGCCTCATTGACATTTTCTGGCCCTGGGCCGGCCCCTGGGCTGTTGGCCACTTGGCCAGTCTGGCCCAGGGCCACCCCCCTGATGACTGTGGGCTGTGGGCCGAGTAGACAGCTGGTACTCAGGATGGGGGAGCCTCTTCCTGGTGGCTGCTCTGGGGGAAAACAGGGATGGGGATGCTGGACCCAGAGCCTTGGCAGTGCCCCCACCAGGGTGCTTACCCCACTCATGCTTGGCACTGCCAGCTCTCCCACTTCCTGCCAGGCAGGCTCCCAGCACCTGGCCATGGCCCAGGGCATTGCCAACAGCCTGCGTCCATCAGGTTCGTCTGTGCCAGGCACTGATGGGGAGCTTGAGGGCTGGGTTATGTGTGTGACCCCATTGTGTGACCTCAACAAAGTTTCCCTCGTGTGTATCCTAGGCACACGGTATACTGTTTTAATAACAGTGGCCACCATTTGCTGCTATTTCTTCCATTTAATCCTCACAAAAGCCCAATGGGTGTGTGGCTTTTCAGAAGAGGAAACTGAGATCCTGAGACCTAAGTAACTTGCCAAGGTCACCCAACTGACTCCAGTTTAGGACTCTTCCGTATTCTGCAACCACTGTGAATCTGGTGGTGGGATGGCAGCAGCAGTCGGTGTGGGGGAAGAGGGAAGGTTGTGTGTTGGCAGAGGGGCCCTTGCTCCCAGGGTACAGGGAGTCTCAGGCCTTCTTCCTGCTGGCTGGGCTGCCCTGAGGCCCCCAAACCCACCAGCTCTTCACCCATAGGAGGGTCCACCTTGCTGTTTCTTCCATCGGTTGAGGAAATCAAGGCCCAGAAGCCTGCGGGCAGAACAGAGCCCAAAGCCCATGTTCATGCCTGCAGTGAGGACGCCCATGGCTTACAGGGAAGGCAGCCCTCACACCCTCAACCCAGGATGGGGTTGTCCCCGGGACTCTCCTGCAGCCGTACAGATACGGCTGGGGGAGGGGGTGGGTGCTGAGCCATGGATCCTGCAGAGACTCACAAAAGGACTGGGTTCCTGGGCACGTATCAGCCACCCATGGCCACCCACCCTGGTGACATAGGCCCTGGCTAGGCTATGCTGGGAGGTGGGCGTGACCTCTTGGTTCATTCTCAGTCCCAAGGGCCCTGGATCTACATCCCAGGGGACCAGGCCTCCACTGAAAACGCTGCTGTAATAACTGTGGACAAGGACCAGCTACAGCTGCCAGCCCTGCCCCGGGGGACGGTGTGGTCTGCTGTGACTGCCCTTCAGAGAACGGAGTGGCTTCGGGAGCTGAAGGGACTTGGCCCATTTCTCAGCCAGGCCAGGTCATGGACCATGCACTTCAGCCCCCAGGCGTATCCTGATGTGGCACTGCTGACCCCACCTCCCCACAGGGCCCAGCACTCCCCCATCCCAGCCCTCCTTGGGGTCCGGCCCCTCACCAGCCTCACTAGGCCATCACCATAAACTGGCACTTCACGTGTGCTGTGTCGCTCAAACTGGCCAACAGCCTATGGGGACTTCGTCAAACGCAGGGACTGTCAGCCCCATTCTGCACACATGGAAGTGGAAGCTGAGGTGATGCGTGCGCCCCACCCCCACCCCCCACCCCCATGCAAGGGGACCCAGCTGGCAAGTACAGGAGCTGGACTTGGATGTGACTTGCAGGCCACATCCTCAGAAGCTCACTGCCTCCCGGGAGACGGGGAAACCAAGGTGTGGCCCACCCAATAGGGGAGAGGTTCCTCTCTGAGGGGTGAACACAGAAGGGCTTAGCATCCCAAATCCCAAAAAACCCTGCTGTCCCCTAAACAGCCAGCTCTGTGTCCGGCATACAGTGACCTCTGACCCCAGCAACACCAATACCCCTTTTATCCCAGGTTTGTCCCAGCCCTGGAGTGTGAGCCAGGCAGCCAGCATTGGGAGGAAGGGGCCAGGTGCATGGGCAGACAAGGAAGGTCCATCAGATTGAAGCCCCCTGGGGCCTCTCAGCAGAGAGGGAATGGCTATCCTCAGTTCTGACCCACTGGAGGCCGAGCCATGCAGTCACCACAGCGGTCGTGCCACAGACCCTCACACGCCTCACGCTGGGTGGTACCAATCTGTGTTTATTCAATAACCTACATCCAGGACACAGTGAATGATTCCACATCAAGGAAGCCATAGGTGTATCCCCCTGTTCAGTGAAAAAACAACCCCCCCACCCCTAAACGAGAATGAGAAAAGGCACAGTATATACACATGACACAAAGGCTGGCTCACCCAGTGGGCCGGGGCCATAAATTACAGTTGGGGCGGGGTGGGCAGGAGAGAAAAAGTGGGTGAGGTCCAAGCTGACTGTTCCAGCCTGCACTTGGCCAGAGGAGCCCCTCTCTGCTGTGTACCCCATCTGTGCTGGGGTCCCGGCCCACTTTCTGCCCCAACCAGCAGGCCCCGGGGTACCAGGCAGCCCTCGGGTCCCAGGAGAAATGGCCTCCGGGTAGGCACCAAGCCAAGGGATCCAGAAAAGTAGGACCACTTTTCCCTCCAGGGCCCCCCGCTCAAGGAAGGGGGCTTCATTCCTAGTGCCCACCTTGGGCAACACTGTGCCCACCCTGAAAAGGGGCTTGTCACTGGGGAGGGGTTGGGGTCTGGTCCCTGCCACCCTGGCTTATTTTCAGGTCAAGAATTAGGGATAAAAACAGACTATGGAGATAGGAGTTGGGGTGACAGGGAGCTGAGAACCAATGAAGCCCCTGGTCCCCAGTCCTTAATGGGTGGCTTCATCTTTCCCAACCCCCTGGGACTAACCCAAGGTTGGGCTGACATCCCAGGGGGCGGGGGAGTGGGAAGGAACAGGACACTTAAATAAGATACCGTTTATTTTTTAAAAAATTAAAAAATTATGCCGACATTATTTCATCCATCCCCAGGTCTGCCCCCTACCTCCCACCCCCCTCCCAAGGGCTGGGCTCCCTCCTTCCCTGGCTCCTTGTGGTAAAGAGAAAACAATGCACTGGCTTTGCTAGGCACAGGGGAGGGGACGCAGACCCAGAGAGAGAAAGAAAGATGCCACAGCAACTTAGCCCTGCATCACGGCAACCCCAAGCACACTGATATAAAAACATTCGTATAAAAAGGGGGGGCGTGCTGGGCACAGTGCCAAGGGTGAAGCGCTCTGGTGCCCAGAGACCTAAGTCCCCCAGAGGGAAAGCCTGATAAACAACCAGGAAGCAGGAAAAGGCGGGGAGATGTTCACAGGAGAGAGTGTGGGAGGGCTGGAGGCGGGGCTGGGCAGCTTGGGAGCTCCCCCTGCCACTTCCATGTCAGGGCGCCCCCAACTCCTGCCCCGCCCTGACTTTCCTCTCTCAGGCCCACTGGGGCCTGGACTGTGGGCATCTATCCACAGCAGCTTTAAGGGGCTCTGCCCAAGGGGCCCACTAGCCTGAGGTGGTCCAAAAGCCTTGGCAGGTGACAGCTCAGAAGCCACGGCTCATCCCACAGCTCCCAGAGGGAGGAGGGAGACTGGGAGGCAGAGGAGGAGGGAGAGGAACACAGACAGAGGGAGGAGGGAGAGAGAGACTGAGAGACAGAGGGAAGTGGTGGCCGAGGTGGGCAGAGCCGGGGGTCAGGAGGCGGCGATGGCAGTGCCGCCCCCTAGCTTGACAATCATCTGCTGGCAGTCGCTGCACGAGCGCCGGTCGCCCACCTTCTCCAGGGTGCGGGCGGCCTCCGCCAGCAGCACCGCCCGCTGGCCCGGCGAGGAGAGGAAGGAGAGGGGCAGGTGGCGGCAGGCCAGCAGGATGGCGGTGGCCCGCTCTCGCTGGCCGGGCCAGGCGTCCGCCTCTCCTGTGGGAACGATGAGACACGCACTCGCTGAGATGAGAGCCCGCCAGGACGCAGGCGCTGTTCCCAGGGCTCAGTGTGAGCTGGTTTATTTAATCCTCACACCCCTCAAGTGAGGGAGGTTCCAGTGCCCTGCCTAGTTCAGAGATGAGCTGAACCCGAGGTGCCACAGGCTATTACTCCGAGGCGGGGCCGAGGTGTGGCCCATCAGCGCAGCCGTCCCCTCCTCACTCGGGGTTGGACCACGTGACAACGCGACCAAGGCTGTCCCAGCCCCACAGCACCTCGTGGACCCTCCCCCGGCACCCACCAAATCAAGCCTCGGGTTTCCTCGGTTCTCGCGCTGCCTCTGAGAGCCCTGCAGATGCCGAGGGCAGGGCAGGGCTGGGCTCCTCCCCCGTTTCCCCGCCCCTCCCCAGGCAGGGCCCGCCCAGGCCGCCCAGGCCGTGGCGCAAGGTGCCGGTGGGCTCACCATGCTTGGCGTTCTGAGCGGTGCGCCGTCGCAGGCTGTGCTCCAGCAGCTGGTGGGTACGGGTGGGGCTGGCCCCCGCCATCAAACGCACGGTGGCTTCATGCAGGAACACCTGGGAGGTGCAGGGGGACACAAGCCGGGCGTCCTTACCTGTCTGTGCCCCAATAGGTCTCTCTCCCTGCAGCATCTCGTCTGCCACCCGAAGGCACCCCTTCTCCTCTCCACAACACCCTGCCCTGCTCACCCCTTGAAAGCAACCTCTCTCGTCCTCACTCTGACCCCCGACACAAGCCAGGCAGGAAAGGGGAACACAGCACAGGCCACCTGGTGGGGCAGGAGCAAGGCTGCGAGCTGAGAAAGAGGCCAAGGGCTGCCTCCTCTACCGCTGACCTGGAGCGCCAACGCGCCCTCTGGGGTTGGAAAACAAGTAGCCTGGGGGGACCCGCACTTCGCTGGAGGCTGCCTCCAGCTGGAAAACAGGACAGAGGTGAGGCAGGGACAGGAGGGGGCAGGGGGACGGCTGCGCTAGCACCAAGGAGGTTCAGGGTCCTGTTGCCTCCTGTTTTTTCAGAAAGGAACAGAGTCCAGAGGTTTCCAGGTGAAAGTCTGCAGCTCTTCTGTAAATACGAGTCACTGGGGATGGGGGGCCAGGCCTAGGTCTCTAATTTCTTAACATCTCAAGGTTCTTTTACACCTTAACATCTCAGTGTGTGAGGAGCGCTGCCCTGGAAGGCACCGGGGGAGGCGGTGAAGGGCTTCCGCAGGTGGCAGTCTTTTCTGAGGAAGCCTTTGATGGGGGCCACAGTGCCTGGGGCACACTTCCTCTTCTCCACGGTGAGGCGGGTGGCTCTCACATGACTGTACTCCATCTGCCGTGTCTGTCCTGGCTCGCTGCACACAGGGGCCATAGCGTAACCCTGCGAGGGCCCCATAGCTCCCTAGGGTGGGGGCAGCCTCACCCTGAGCCCTTCTTTTTCGCACCCTTCCCTCCCCACACTTCTGGCCTTCTCGCTTGAATTTCTGGAAAATAATTCAGGCAGCGAGAACATGCTGAGTATATTACCCTAATTAGCAATAAAAATAAACCAAACAATGAAATGATTTGCGTCCAGCAAGCCCAGTTACACATCTGCCCCCAGAGCTTATCTCAGACCATGTAGCCATCGCCAAGGGGATGTTACGTGGGGCATCGGGCAGCAGAACCAAAGCCCCCAGGGGCTCAGAAAAAGAATGATAGGCATGTCTAGGGGCATTCTGCTGCTCTGACACCAATTATGAAAGCCAGAGTAGAGAGCTTCCTCACGGCCTTCCCGCCCCTCTCCGCTGAGGCTGGGAGCCCCTTCTTGCTCCCACTGCCCCCAGAGCCCCCCATTCCCGAGTTTAGCTGGTGAGGCGCAATCTGTGTTGTCCTCTGTCTGCGGCTGTGTGGCCTGCTCACCACCACGCTCCAGGGCTGGGCACACAGCAAGTACTCCACCAACATGAGCCAAACAAAGGGATACATGGCACCCAGCCCAGTGCCTGATAGCTCAGCTGACCTCAGGAGACCGACTCCACGACCCCAGGCCAGTGCTGTGCGGGGTTCTGCCCTCTCCCAGCAGCAGGCCGGGCCTCACCTTGCGGTAGGCCGGGCGGAAGCTATGTGCCAGCCTGCGCAGGCTGCCCAGGTCCCGCTGGAAGCCAGCCAGCTCAGCGCCCGACGCGTGGTAGGTCTCACCCAGGGCCTGGCTGGCTCCTGCTTGTTTCTGCCAGAGTGCTGTCCGCAGCGACAGGAGCAGGTCACAGGTCAGCAGCTGGACCACCTGCAGGGTGGGCCACGAGGGAGAAGACAGGTGACTGGCCGATTCCTGGGGCAAGGATCCCAGCCCCCACCAGGCCCTCCCCAGCCTGACACCCGGCAGCTCCGGGACGAAGGGCGGAGCCCCAGACGGGGGAGCCTGGAAAACACCCCACAGGGAGCAAGAGAACACCTGGAGAGTGAACTTAAGCTCACGGCATCTAGTCCTTTCCATGGCCCCAGGTGGTAGATCTGTTCTCCCATCTTGCGGGTGAGGAAGCTAAGGCTCAGAGAGAGGCTGCAGGCTCATGCAGGGGACACAGTGGCGAGGACACAGGCCTGATAGGAAGTCGCAGGTCCCTCCCACCTCACAGGAGCCCTCTCAAGGCTGGCCGGGAGGCTGAGATACTCAAAAGGTGCCTTGGCCCCATCCTTCCAGTGGAATCCAAAAGCCTGAAGTGGCAGCACAGCCTGGAGATGGAGGACCAGGGAGAAGAGGCTCGCTTCAACAGAGGGCAACCAAGGCCCGGCCCAAGTGGCCTCTGGGGTCAGGGAGACAGGAGCCCAACAAGGCAGAGCCGCAGAGCAGCTGAATGCTTGGGTTTGGATCCACTGACCCAGATCTACCCTGACATATGACCAAACCTCCCTGAGCCTGTTTCCTCACCCACAAAACGGGCACCTCAGGGCTGCAGTGAGCATCACATGAGAGAATGCGTGGAGGCAACATGCCCGGCCTCAGAAGCACTGGCCTCAGCCCACACTGGCGCCATTAAGCACAGATGCCGCCAGGCGCCAAGGCCAGGCCACCTGCCTTGCTCCAGAGGGCCCTCGGCACCAGGGAGCAGCGCTTCTCGAGATGGGTCACATGCAGCCCTCAGGCTCTGATGGACTCCCCCAGGCCATTCCTCATCTTGTGCAGCCTGGCTTTCCCCTTCTCCAGGGTGCTGGACCTGGGGAGCTCACCGTGCTGCCCCAGACCTGGACCCTGCCTTGAACCTGCACGTTGGCTGACCCTCGGCCACAGTGTTTTTTGGCTGCTGACAGCTTGGTGGGGGGGACACGGATGAGGTCTCTCTCCTCAAACAAAGGTGGCACTTCTAAGAGGTGGGGTAGCAGCCTGGGGCTGAATTCTGCCCCCGAGGGAGGCCAGCTTCTGTGGAGTTCCCTTCTTCTAGGCCCATTCTCCCACGCAGGAACCCCGATCCCAAGGGTGCCCGCAGCCTCTCTCTCCTTCCCCAGACTAAGCTGAGACAGTCTAGTTCTCACGAAGACGAACAGTACTGGACACCAGCGAGGAATCGCACAAAGCGAGCTGTGGCTCCCCTCGAGCCTCTGGTCTTGGGCCCTGTCGGCACACTGCTTGTCCTGTAGGGCTGCCTGCTGTCCTGGGTTCACCCCAGAGTCTGCGGCCACTGATGACCTCTAGCCAGAAGTGCCAGACCAAACCCTAGTGAGGGGCTCAGAGCCGGACCCTCCAGGACACACCTCCTGTCTCCCTTTCTGGAGTGAGACCACGCTCCTCCCTGCGAACAGATGATGCTTCACCTTCAGCTGCGTGCACGCCTCCCCTCCCCTCTCCTGGATGGCCCTGCCTTGTGACCCAACAGCGAGAGCAGAGCCCTCTGACAAGGCCTGGCTGGAAGTCTCTCGAGGGCTGGGCAGGCCTCTGTGATGCACTGTGGAAACATTGCATGGGTACCACCAGAACATGCAATGCAACTACAATGCACCACAGCTGCCCGCTCGAGGGTGTGCAGCCAGCCACGGGGGTGCCCAGGACGCTCAGCTGGCTCAGGATGTGCATGTGAGGGGGCCCGTGGGGGCCTGGGGAGTCGGGCAAGCTGCCTGGAGCAAATGCAGAGCCCTGGCCAGCTGAGGTTCGCCTGGGGCTGACCAAGCTGAGGGCCCACAGGACCCAGGACTCAGGTGGGAACACGTTTGTCCAAGTACTGAAAGGAAACCCACCTGGACCCACAGCCTACGATCTGGGGAAGGGGGCTGCTTGCCTTGCCTGGTCTGTCTTTCGCACAGCCCCATGGGCTGGGTGGGCTCAAGGCGGGTCAGAGCGCTCTACCCAGCAGAGCTGAGCACCTCCCCGAGGGGCCAGAGAAGCCCTCACTCACATGGCTGAGGGCTGGGTCGCAGGCGGCCCCACTGACGTTGAGGCTGCTCCACAGGTGGCCACTGGCCCTCTCGCAGTGGCAGAAGGAACTCTGCTGCCCGTCCGCCTTCCCAGAGAGTGAGGCGTGCATAGCTCTGCAGGTGTGGAAGACGGCCTTCACCAGGGGGCTCCTGGGCGGTGAGAGAGGCAAGAGGCAGGATGTCAGTGCATGTCGCCTGTGGAGAACGAAGGGGGAGCCCAAGCCGGAGATGACTGCCCCCTCGCTGCTGTGACACGTGGGTCTGTCTGTTAAACCAAATGCTGCCATCATAATGGTTCCAGATCCCCAGCTCCAGATCGGAAATGCCAGCCCTGACTGAGGGAGGCTTCCCACCCCTAAGCACCTTCCTCATTCAAGGAAGGTTGACGGTGTTCATTTCCTAGTGAAGGAGTCTGATGATAAATGCATTAGATGCTGACTGCGTAATGCCAGGTGGTGCACGTGCCATGAAGGAAAGTCACGCAGAGGAAGGGGGTGGCATTTTATAAAGGATAGTCAAGGACGTCCTCTCTGGAAAGGTGACACTCGCGCAGAAGGAACCTGAGGGAACTCCTGAAGGAAACGGGGAAGCAGGAGTGTGGATTTCTAGGAAGGAGGGTTCCAGGCAGAGAAGCAGCATATGCAAAGGCCCTGAGTGTCTGACACATGTGAGAATATCCAGGAACGAGCATGGCTGGAGGAGGAAGTGAGGGGAGCAGAGGGAGAGCAAGCTCTAAACAAGGCCCTTCTCAGCCTGGCTCCCATCCGCCTCTGACCCTGCTCCAGGCTCCAGGCAACCGAAGCTCATCTCCTCTCCCTTCCTCACTCCTTGCCTCTGCTGACATGGGTGCCTCTGCCTGGAATACCCTTTCTCACCATTTCCTACTTGTCTCCTGAGACTTGTTCCACCTGCCCGGCCCTCTGGTCCGCCTTCTCCTGTCCTGCCCCCCACAAGCCTCCTCTGGCTGGCCCCCGGGTCAGGCCCCCTGGCTCCCCCAATTATGCGCCTCCTTCCCTCACCAGGCGCTGTGCGAACTCCCGGAAGCTGACTGGCCTCTGGCCCGGAACCCCTCCCAGCGATGCGCCGGCTGCTTCACGGGAGCCGAGACTGGCCTGGCACAGGCAAAGGCTCCCACAGGAGAAGGCGCCGAGCAGGACGGCCACTGTCTATTCGCTTACGGCTATAACTTGCTGTCCTGTTCACTGCCGCCTCCCAGAGCCCAGAACGCAGCCGACACCGAGTACGCCCTCAGCTAAGTATTCGCAGAAGGAATGACGGAATCATGGAAGAGGTACAGGAGACCCCAGAACGCGGCTCGTGGCCAACAGGAAGGGATCAGAGACGCAGGCTCAACCACCAGGGCTGCCACTAAGAAGCCGCCTAAGATGGTCATTCAAACAATCTGTGCCTCAGTTTCCTCATCTGTAAAGTAGCCACAATACCACTCGCTGCTACCTGTGGTGACGTACAGTACTGGTCCCATTATCTGCACCTGTTCTCTAACGGCCATTGCCCCAGAAGCCAGGTGTTCAACTCTTCGGAGAAACTTAGCCTCGTTTCATAGAGCAGGTCAGGGAGACAGTGGGGAGGCTGGGATTGGGGGAGGGGTCCCACAGCATCATTATCCCTAAAGAGCAAAGGGCCCCGGAGTGACTGAGTTCGGGGGAAGGAACGCCCGCTGGGGGTCTCAGCTGCACACTGGGGCTCTGTTCTTAGAAGTGAGGTGACTTCAGATGATTTGCCCGCTGAGCCTCAGTTTCCTCAGGTGCGTTGGCTGGGAGAAAACACACACAGGGTGGGCGCTCACTGGTCAGGGTGCTTAAAAATGGGTTACTTAAATGAAACTGGAGTGTCAGACCGACTTTAGGGAAACTGCCTCAACCTGCTTTTCTCAGCTCCCTCCCGCTCTCCTGGTTAAGCATCTGCTCAGCCTTGGCTCTGAGGAAAGACCCAGTGAGGCCTTTCTGTCTTGGAGCATTTTACCATTTCTCTCGAATGGCAGAGGATGTCAGGGACACTGAGATCCAGTCAGAAGCAGCCAGGACACCGGCGGGCTGCTCGTCACTACGGGCCAAACGCCCCCGAGAAGCAGGCGTAAGTCCCCCAAGAGGACAGTCAAAAGCTCTCCGGTGATGCCTTGTGCTAAAGGCCTGTTTAGTGATAGCGCCGGTGGCGGGGTGGAGGGCGGCGGAGAGGAAACTGGATGCAGTGCTGGCACCTGAGAGAAGGATCCTCGGCCCTGCACAAGCCGGTGCTGGCTGTAAGCCATCAGCACCCTGCCCGGCTCCACCGGGAGCTTCTGAACATGCTGGGGGCTGCCGGCTCTCCCCGCCCATCAGCCTGTGCAAGGAGGCCCGGAAGCAGCGTGGACCGCTGCTGGGGTGACACACACGGACAGACGTGCTCGCCACGTTTGGTCTCTCCATGGTGCCCTCACCCCCTCACTTCATCTCTCCATCTGTCATGTAGTCCCCAGGCTGCCTGACCCTTCACCCAGATGGCCACCCAGACCTGCTCCCTCCCACTAACCCAGTGAGCCTGGCACAGCTGGCGCTGGGGACTCCCCTGGAGAGAAGCAAGCAAGTGGTCAAGGGGGGCTACGCACTCTGTCACTTCCAGGGCCTTGGGAACACGCTCCACTTCGGTAAAGTGAGCGCGCACAGCTGCGTCGTCTCCCTGGAGCCAGCTGATGGCCATGGTGATCGCGGACGTCCACCACCGACAGACAACGTCTGGACCTAGAGGTGAACAGAACCAAACGCTGCTCCAGCACCCACAGAAACCAGAGCCTGCTGGCTGCACCTGGTTCCCATCGTTCGTGCCACCTCTCCCTCCTGGCGATGGGCTGGGGCCTGTGGGCTGCCCTCTCACACGATTCTGGTGGAAGCGCCAACCAGCACCATCTCAGAACACATCTGGCAATCTGTACTAACAGCCTTAAAAACGTTCACTCCTGTTAACCTAGTAATCCCATTTTTTTGGCAATCCATCACAAAGCAATTGGCCTAGAGAAAAAAGGCTCCACGAAGATGTTCACTGTGGTGTTATTTTTAAGTAAAAAGCTGGAAACAACCTAAACTTCCAACAGTTGTGAAAAGTGGTGTTTCCAAAGTATTTGTAGTAACAGGCTCAGGTTAGAATCTTTTTAGTGTTTTCCTCTCTGAGGCTAAGTTTTCTCAGTGAACCTGTACGATGAAAGGCCTAAGAACATGTTCTTTTCTAAACTCTGAAATAAAGACAGGCCACGAGGTCAGTGGTCACGATGGGGCGGCTGCTTCTCTGGGATCCTTCTCTCTCTAGGGAGAGCGGCCAGAAGGGAGCTCCGTGTCGCTGTCCCCCAGCAGCCTCAGAAGCGCAAGAGGTGACAGCTCGTGTGCCATCACCCAGATGGCAGTTTAGAGACAGAAGCAAAGAACGTCCTGGTGACAACTCAGTCGGTGGTTGTGCTGTGCCACCCAAGGCAACGGGTACTGTAGCAATATAGGTGCCCAGATGAAAGGCCTCTTTGGCAGAGTGTCAGACCCAAGAGCAGCCCCGGGGACCACTGTGTATTGAAAGGTGAGCCCCTCCCCAGCTCCCGGTGCCGGGACCACTTGCTGCCCGTTCTGAGCGTTTGGGAGAATTCCTGACCTGCCCCACCCATCCAGGGCCCAGGGAGGGCACTGACTCACTCATCGTCACACTTCTAGGAGAATCATGATCTCCTGGCCCCAAAACGCTGTCCAGCACGGCGGAACTGTGCATGAGGGCTACATGGGGGCTGCAGATACACACCTCAGATCCAGAGAAGATTCTCGAGTGCAGACTCATAACTAACCCTGGACCCTGGGACACAAGGGCTGTGAAGGGCTGAATCAAGCAACCTGAGGCCTGCGGAGCTGCCCCACAAGATGCTTACCAAGGGCTGACTTGAGCACGCAGCTGCTGGAGAAGGGGGCGGTCACAATCCCCACCGAGTCCACAAAAGAATTAAGTAACTTCAGGTACTCCAGAGCACTGGAGAATTCACTAGGAAGAAAAGAAAGGGTCCCACACACATCAGAATGTACACAAGGACCACGCTCATGGCCTGGCTGGTCAGCCCCCAGCTCTGAGACCCACCACACCAGGCGCCCCGAGCTCTGCCTCTCACACCACTCACACTCTCCCCAGGCTGCCCTGACACCGGTTCTGACACTCTCCCCTCTGCCGGGAGAGCCAGCTTTCTCTTGCATCCCTCGCCCTTCAAGACCTAATTCAACTGTCGTCTCTGCCCAGAAGTTTTCTGACCTCCCAGGTAGGACCGCCCTCCCCTCTCCGCTCAGGTGCACTCCAGTCAGGACCTGGGCCGTGAACCAGAGTGACCTTGGCCTGTCTGCCTCTCAGGTCTGACTCTGTGAAGGAAAGACTGCACTCAAAAACTCTGTAAGAATAAGACACTGTCTGACACACTCAGTACAGGTCGGGGTCCCACAAGGTGTCTGGGCCAGAGCGCCTGCCTTCTGCCGAGCTCCCCACATTCCACTCCACACCCTCCACAGGCCACCCTTCCCCTGGCAAAGAGCAAAGCAAAAGAATCAAATCCCTGACTGCTCCGAGAACTGACTCCACTTGGTGAAGGGATGGGTAAAAAGGAGAAAAAGGCGGAAAGTGATACGCTTGGTCTGGCAGTACAAGGCAAAGAGGCCAGGTCAGAGCCCGCAGAGGGCCCTCGCGGGGCTGCCAGGTTCAAGAAGTAAACATGAAGGAATCCCTGGATCTCCCTCTTGACCCTACACTAGGGCTTGTTTCCTTCTAGGCCTCACAGCCACCTCTGCGCTTCCCGGGCAGACGGCCCGAGGCAGGGGGCCCCTCCTGGGGTCAGTACCTGCTCTCCTCTTCCTGGTCTGCAGCTTTCTTCTTGGCCTGAGGTTTCACCAAGGACTCCACAGCTCGCTCCAGCAGGTTCCTGCAGAAGGCCTGGTGCACCTGGGCGATGGGGTCGGCTGAGGAAGAGGAGGCAGGCCGGGAGAAGGGTAAGTGGGTCTCACTTATGGGCTCATTTTGCCTTACAGAGAAAATAGAGGGTGGGGAGAGGAACCCAAGGAGCAGCTGTCCCCTCCGAATCGGGGCAAACGTCCTCAACAGACCCCAGCACTGCTTGTTGAACAGTCAGAAGGTGGGGATGGGGGTGGGGAGGGGTGGGTCCTGGACTGGCTCCGGGGGCGTGTGAGGAGTGCTGTGCCTCCTGGCGCAACGGCCAGCGCTTCCGTTCAAGGTTGGGAGCTGTGTGGCGGCCACAAGCCTCGTCAGGAGACAGGAGATGGGAAGGTGGACAGTACACCTGTGCACGTCTCAGGGACGGCCTCTTCTCCTGCGGCCCAGGAGGACAGCCAGCAGAGGGGCACGTGGCGCCGGCTGCTGCCTGGCGGGATTAGGGAAACGCCGCTCCCGCTTACCAGAGCCTTTGCGTGAGGCCTGTGGCCGGCAATCGTCTGGCTGAGCCTATTAAACAAGAAGCCTTGCAATGCTTGTGACAGCTGACTGTCACCGACAGGCCCCCCCAGCTGGCAGGGCGTCACCAGCCTTCCCCTCACTCACACGCCACAGCCGTGTGGGTTTCAATTTGACAAGAGCGGGGAGGCAGGACACTTATGAACACATTTTGGGCGAGAAGGCCTAGAGCCAGAGCCACCAGAGGTGAGAGAGCCAGGGGCAGTCCACGGCGCAGACAAAGCAGCCTGGCGACGCAGCTGAGATTTACGATGGCTTTTGCTTTCATCCTTACTTTCTGGTGTTGTACATCACTCTTCCTTTGAGCAATAAAGTTATTAAAAAGAAACGACGGTGGAACCTCCCTTCCCCACAAAATGTTTGACACACACCCCTGTACCTGCAGGACATGTCTGACTCGCCCCAGACTCCCAGTTCAGAGAGAGGAAAAGCGCAGAAAGCAGAAAGCCACGGCTGCTCAAGTCTGAGCCACCCCGAACAGCCTCTCCTGCTCCGAGGCCGGGTGCGGGGACTCCAATCACTGTCAGACACCGGGGACAGCAAGCCAGCATCGCCTCCCAACGCCTGGAGCCCTGTCCCTGCCACCACTCTGAGCACTTGATGACCGTCTGTCGCCTGTTGTTCCCTAACTGCTCCGTCTATGTCTGTCTGCTTTCCAGGGGGAGCGGGAGATTGGGGCCAGCAAACAGCAACTCCACACATCCTCTGAGTCTCCAAAGCGCCCAGAACAAGGGCAAGATTCCAGCTGGTGCTCAATCACCATTAGTAATGTGTGGCGGTGTGACTGATGTCAGGACCACGGGCTCTGCATGTCAGAGAGAGGCGAGCTGCAAACCCAGCTTAGCTGCTGACCAGGCTCATGACCTCCCTGAGTTTAAGGAAAACATGGCTGAGGCATCCTGTGTCCCCACGTGTCTGGAGTGTAGCCACCCTGTGGTACCGGTGGCTCTCATAGCTGCACAGGTGCTCTCACCTGGGTTCCTCTGGGCACAGTACAGACTCTCCTTGGCAGCCGACTTCACGGACCAGCTCCGCTCCATGAAAAACTTCTGACCCAGGGGGTGGCAGAGCCAGCGCAGCGAGTCGGGAACAGCGCTGCGCTCGGGGCCACACAGGCTCTGGGCGCGACTGAGGAAGTAGCTCTGTGGAAGGACAAGGACCACGGTGACAGCAGGGTGGCAGAACGCTGGCTGCGCCACCATGGTGGAGGCAGACTGGGGAAGGGAGGTCAGCAGGAGGGCTGGGGCACTCACATACCTGGAAGGAAATGCCCTCACTGAAACCAGGGCCATGGCCCTGGTGGAGTCTTCCGGGCTCTATGACCGCATACAAGCCCCAGCTGGATGGGGGTGGGGCCTCAAGGCACCCACGGGGGCCCGGCTGCACCCTGTCCTGCTGGGTCTGCCTAACCCGACTCGAATCTTGTTCTGGGCTGTGCTGGCATTCAACTGCAGAGCTGAGGAGGGCTCTCCCAGGCCCCTCGCGGCACTTTAGCCCTCAGCCCCGTCAATGGCGCTGCACCCTAGCCAGGTGGCCCACTGGGTCCTGGGACTTTTTCTCATCTGTCATTTTAATTACATATCTTTCAGAGTATTTTTAGGCAAAACTGTATTCTGCTTTGACTAATTTTCATCTCTTTTACCTCTGAGTGTGAAGCGTTTAGAACAGGCGCCCAGCAAGTGGTCAGTGACTGTTATTTACCATCACTGTCACTCTAGAAAGCACTGGAGTGAAAGGGCAGCCCTGAGACTCGTCCAGCCCCCTAAAGAGAACCCCCTGCCATCCCTGGATGAGTCCTTGACGTGAACACCCTCTTTGCTGGACAATTCAAAGAGCCAGTGCCCCAGTTTCCCAGGCCCCTCTTCTGCCCACAGGATAACATCACTCCAGGGCCCCAGGAATAAGAATTGTAGGGACAATGCTGTCTAACCATGTTTTCAGAAATTGTGTCATTTTTTGAGTAAGGATATCTTTATTCTAAAACCCATGTTTTCCAACCCATAAAAACCACTCGATACAGGCCAATCTGAATGAGAAGCTCAGCAGAGAAGGATGGAGGGAGAGAGAAGCGTGAGATGCAGGGAGCCCAGAGGAGGGGCTGCTGGGCTGGGCAGTGGACCTCAACCTTTACACTGCAGCCCTCACCTCCACAACGAAGGTAGCCACCTCCTTGTCTGGTTCAGTCTGATGGTTCTGACCTTTACTGGGCTCTGAGCAGCCATCAGCTACTGTGATGGCCTCAGAAGACTTGAAGGCCAGGGTCAGAAATAGCCCTGCCAAAGTACCACTCAAGAAACGTGGACCAAGGAGACTGGCTTTCTTGGGGAACCTGGTGACGGCTGCCTAAATCCAGAAGAAAAGGACCCGGCCAAACTGTTCTCTAATGTTATCATGGCACTCACAGGACCAGGCGGGGCATGTCACTTCAATCTCTAATCACAGGGCCGGCAGCGCTAATGGCCTTTCCTCCTCTTTGCTGATCACCATACTTTAAAAAGGGGACTGGAGAGCAAATGTAGAGAATTCTATGACCTTCTCCTGACCCTCAACAAAGCCCTCCCTGGATGTGAGCTTGTAACTGCAACGGTCAGAGAACAGCAGCTGAGGAGCCTGAAGGGGACAGAGGTTGGGGGTGGTTTGGTGGTAATTCCAGGCCCTTTGAAGACTGCGAACCTTCTAACAGTTGCCCCCAGCTCTCTCCTGAGAGCACATACCTGACAAGCAAGGGAGCTTGATGGCTGCTCCAGGGGAAATCTAGGACCACTGATCCCTAAGAAGGGCCCAAGCGTCACCAACAGAAGCAGAAACAAAGCCTGGTTAGGTGATATTGCAAGAGGAACCCAAAGAAGCGATTTAGAAAATCATTAAGTTAAAATACATTTTTAAGCTTAATTCTTAGAAAAGAAAAACTTAAGTTATAACACATCTCAGCAGGAGGGGGAGCTCCAGTTTAGTGGTTTGAATTAATAAGAAATATAAATCCTGGGATAGTCATCCACGGCATGGCTTCTAGAAGGGAAACTGAGAAAATAACTTCTGTTGCTCTTTTTTTTTTTTTTTTAACAAATACATTTATTTATTTATGGCTGCGTTGGGTCTTCGTTGCTGTGTGTGGGCTTCCTCTCTAGTTGCGGCGAGCAGCGGCTACTCTTCGTTGTGGTGCGCGGGCTTCTCAATGCGGTCACCTCTCTTGTTGCAGAGCACGGGCTCTAGGTGCACAGGCTTCAGTAGTTGTGGTGCGCGGGCTCAGTAGTTGTGGCTCACGGGCTCTAGAGAGCAGGCTCAGTAGTTGTGGCTCGCAGGCTCTAGAGCGCAGGCTCAGTAGTTGTGGCACACGGGCTTAGTTGCTCCACGGCATGTGGAATCTTCCCGGACTAGGGCTCGAACCCATGTCCCCTGCATTGGCAGGCGGATTCTTAACCACTGTGCCGCTGGGGAAGCCCACTTCTGTTGCTCTTTTAATTTTCCTGGTATTACCACCCCATGATCATTTCCTAAATTTTACAGACACCAGAATTCACTCAAGCTGGGGCTGAGGAGCAACCTCACCACCATAACTCATCTGCTAATTGCTGAATTGAGAGGCTGTGGCAGGAGACTCAGAACTGTTCGGATCCTGAGGGCCACCCTGTACCCCTGGGCCAGTTCCAACTCCAGGTTATGTCCTCCCACTCCAGTCCGACTCGGCGGTTCTCAAACTGTGTGCCAAGGCACCCCAAAACACCGCAGCAAACGCCACAGGGGTGCCGCTGGATATGTCACACTTTGGGGGGAAACACAGCAATGCTCAACATGAATCGGACACCATGTAAACTGCTAGATGGAGGCAGTTCGGTCTCAATGTGAGACTGCATGACCGTCCTCTGGGTGGTGTCATCTTTGGGAAGCTGAGTTTTTGGAGGCTGTTTTAATAAAAAGCAAGTGCAGCGTGAAAGCTGGTGTGGGACAGGAAGTGAAGGTGGTGGTGTCCAGCCTGATTTCAAAGTCTGAGAAGGCACATGCAGCAGGCACACACATCCCATTAGTAAGTATCTATGGTTATTAAGAATAGAACTCAAACATTATATCTTCCTTCAGTTTTGTGTATTATTTTTCCAAGTGGCCACTAAGTTGTTAAGACAAGTATCTATTAAGATGTTTGCACCTAATTAACAAACAGAACTGTTAGGTATTTCCTTTAGCCCAAGGAAACCATGAAAAAAATTACTGAGGCACAAAGGGTGCCGCGAACCAAGAAAGCTTGGCAGCCTCTGGTCTACACCATTTTCACGGAGGCCAGCCCTCTGCGTGACCCCCAATGCCTGACTCATTTGCTGGCTAAATACATTCCACCAAATTCAAAGCTTCTTCCTATTTAAGAAAGTACTATCTGGGTCTCTCATTCCCCTTCCAAGAGAAGCAAACAGATGAGAGGAGCAGCTACTTTCCTAGAGACTGGTTCCTCTCCTCTTCCCACCTTACTGAAAATGCACACTTGGCGATACCACTGATTTTCCAAATATTGATACTCTTTGACCCAGCATCACCATCTCTAGACTTAACCTGAAGAGGTATTGTACAAGCGGGTGAGGGTACTTCCTGCAGTACTGTTTCTAACTGCAAATGCTGGAAACAACCCAAACATCTAGCAGCGGCACACTGGCTCCATCAAGGACAGTATTTACACATGCTGGAGCAGCAAGTGGAATAGGAGGCAACAAAGAAAGAGGCCCAAGACTTATAATCTGGTTGAAAAAAGCAAGTGGCAAAACAGGGTTTCTGATATGATCACATTAAATAAATTATAATGCATATATGTTCTGACGTGCAGGAAGAAAACTGAGGAAATGCACGTTAAACTGCTCACTGCTTGTTAGGCATACCCAATATTTTTGGGGTGGGGGGACACTCATTAGGGAACCATTTTCCTGATCCTCAGCTGTTACACACATGCCTTCCTCAAATGGGCTGAGTAGCCCATTAAAGAACACCTGTGTCTTAGCAACAAAGACAATCAAAACCCCAGTGGGATTTCTGGGATGACGGGATGATCCTAAAATTTATAAGGCAAGGTAAAGAGCAAACACTAGTCACTAAAGCCGGAGGACTGACACTTCCAGATATCAAGACGTATTCGAGGGGTTGGCCATTAGGGGTGTGCGGTGTTGGTGCAATGGAACTGACTAGAGAGTCCAGAAGGAGACTCATCACACGTGGACATTTAATTTAAGCAAAAGGTGCCACTTGGTGCGGTGCAGAAAGGGCAGTCATTTTAACAACAGATTCTGGGGTTGGGAGATAATACATATGAAAAAAAGTCGATCTTGCACCCCTACCTCCAGCTCATACAAAAATCCATTCTAAGTGGATTATAGACCTATGTGTGAACATTTGAAAATAAAGAGACTAGCAGATACCATAGGAGAGTATCTTCATGACTTTGGGGTAGGATAAAGATATATTAAACAGGACATAAAATGTCTAATTGCTAAGGAAAAGACGAATAATCTGGATTTCATGAACATTAAGAACTTATGCTCAGACTTCCCTGGTGGTACAGTGGTTAAGAATCTGCCTGCCAATGCAGGGGACAGGCGTGCGAGCCCTGGTCCGGGAAGATCCCACATGCCGCGGAGCAACTAAGACCGTGTGCCACAACTACTGAGCCTGCGCGCTAGAGCCTGCGAGCCACAGCTACTGAGCCCTCGTGCCACAACTACTGAAGCCCGCGCGCCTAGAGCCCATGCTCCGCAACAAGAGAAGCCACCACAATGAGAAGCCCGTGCACCGCAACGAAGACAGCAGACCCTGCTCACCGCAACTAGAGAAAGCCCACACACAGCAACAAAGACCCAACACAGCCAAAAAAAAAAAAATAATAACTTGTGCTCATCAATCAACACCACTGAGAGAGAGAACAGGCAAGTCACAGAGGGAAACAATATATGCAAAGCACATATCCAACAAAGGATCATAGCCAGAAAAAAGAACTCCTCAAACCAACAAAAAGAAAGACGTCACAAATAAAAAACAGGTAAAAGACTTGAACAGGGTTTTCACAAAACAGGCTGTCCAAATGGCCAACAACCTATCCCAATGGCCAATGATAAGGTGCTCAACATCCTTCATCACCTGGGAACTGCAAATGAAAACTATGAGATACCACCAGCAGGGCTAAAAAAACAACACTGTCACGTGGTTGGTGAGGGTGCAGAACTGGAACTCTTTCCACTGTTGGTGAGGTGAAAATTGGTACATCCACTTTGGAAAACTGTCAGGCAGTGTCTACTGAAGCTGAACATATGCATAACCTCTGACCTAGCAGCGCCATCCCAGAAACGCAGTCACATGTTCACTGAAAGATGAACAGGGATGTTCACAGCAGCACTATTCACAATAACCAAAAACAGGAAACAACCCAGAAGTCCATTTGTAAGCGTCTAGTCATACAATGGACTACTATAACGTAATGAGAATGGGCAATCTGTAAGTACACGCAACGTAAATGAACCTTACACGTGACACTGAGCGAAGACAGCCAGACATATACAGGACATATGTGTGACTCTCCTTTCATGGGGATGGTGGTCACCTGGCTGGAGGGCTTGAGGGGAGGGGCAGTTTGCTGACTGCAAGGGGCCCAAGGTAGGCTTCTGGGATCTTGGTCGTGTTCTGCTTCTTGATCTGTCTGCTGGTTATAAGAGTGTGTTCATTTTGTGAAGTCACTGACCTGTGTATTTATTTATTTACTTATTTATTAATATTATTTTTAAATATTTTCTTATTTATTTATTAGTTATTTGGCTGTGCCAAATAAGTACTTAGTTGCGGCACACAGGACCTTCATTGCGGCATGTGGGATCTTTAGTTGCGGCACGCAGGATCTTTAGTTGCAGCATGTGGGATCTTTTTTAGTTGCGGCATGTGGGATTTAGTTCCCTGTCCAGGAATCAAACCCGGGCCCCCCTACATTGGGAGCGCGGAGTCCTAGCCACTGGACCACCAGGGAAGTCCCTGACCTGTGTATTTATAATTTGCGTACTTTTCTACATGTATATTGTACTTCAATAAAAGGTTTACAGGAACAACAAACAACAGGTGGGTTAAATTACGGTGACAGAAATCAGAATGATGGTTACCTCTGAGGGGGGCAGCATGAGTGAAGGCCTGAGGAGGCTTTGGGGGTGATGGGAACGTACCACTTCTTGATCTGGGTGGTTGCTTACATGCGTAAGTTCACTTTGTAAAAAGAGCTGTTAAGTTAAAATGTGCATATTTTTCTGTATGTATGCTGTATTTCCGTAAAATTAATGCCTTCAAAGTACTTCTGGGGGGCAGAGAAGTTACAAATGTAACGACATTGGCCCAGAGCACTAGGACTGCTCTCAGCCTAGATTCACTTTGCCCAGAAAGCCCACCTTGACTTCCTCTAAGATGGGGTCGGGAGCCCAGTGTGCTCTCTGGGCAGCCAGATTAGCCCCACCCTCACACTCATCTACTGCCCTGAAGGCCTGGTCCTGGTCTGGTTTCCCTGACAGACTATGTGCTCCCCCAGGCAGGGCGAATGTCCTGCTTGCCACTGCACGTCCTCCCTGGGAAGTGCCTGGCCTAGAGCAGGGACTCAGTCACGTTTGCTGAATGAACGTCTTATTTGGGTCTTGGAAACGGGGTTGAGACACAGAAAGTACACTGGGCTCTCCTATGCCCTTCGTCACCCAGATTACGGTGACACACTTCAAGAAACGTATCAGCGTCACCACAGGGCACGGTCCTGCTCATTCTCAGCTCATCAGCGTTATTAATGAGATATGGAAACGGATAGGGGGGATGTGATCATTCTTTTCTGAAACAGCTGATGTGTTCGTCAGCCTACCCAAAGTAGACATTGAATGAAACGTGCCTATGTCTGCTGCAGTAAGAGGAAGCCTGAGGTCAGCAGAGGCTGGGAACTAGCTGGTAACAAGGACTGTGAATTATCCAGTTGTGAATTCCCGAGGCTGGCCCTGTGTCAGGCTCACTGGAGGCGCCTGAAACCCCAGTTCCCACCCCAGAATCTGACCTGAGCTCCTCACAAGACATACATTGTTTTCCATTTCTGGATCCACAGTGCCGTGATCAACACAAGGTACCAAATAGAATACTTCTGAGTGAACAAAAGAACCAGGAGACACAACCAGAAGATTCCAAGCAGAAGAGTCATATGTTAACCCCTGAATACAGGTCGCTCTTATCACTGAATCAATCTTCTCACCTCAGGGCACTAAAATGCCTTGTTTGCTTCTAAGGGAGGAATTTCGTCTGTTGTGTTCACTGCCCTAAGTATTTGTGGAATGACCCACTGAATGAATGTCTACCCCTCTAGGTGGTCGGCCCCCCAAGGGCGGGGGCCCACACCTATGTTCACATCTTGGCTCCTGGCTGGGAAGGGCACTCAGCCAAGGTCCACAGGAGGGAACTGAAGCACACTTACCGCCAGGAAGCCCAGCTTGCCTCCACACTGCGTCTTGAGCCCCATGGCGGCCGTGAGATGGATCTCAACCAGCGTGCTCGGGGGGATTTTCTCCTCTGCACATTCAGCCAGGTTCACAGCGCACAAAGCCATGTGTACATCTGAACAGGCGGATCCCACAGGAAGCTTGCCTATGGCGGCAGAAATGGACAACGACTGTTGACGGATTCCCTCGACCCAAGCTTTTTCCTGCTTTCTCAAGCACAATCGGAGCACCAGCAGAACCAGAGGAGAAAGTCTGTGAGCTCGGTGATCACACAGTCCTGGATTGGGTGCCAGGCTCTGTGACTTCGTAGCAGTGTGCTCCTTTCTGCCTCACAGGTTGTTGGGGACAAGAGAAAACACAGGTCACAGGTCTGGCCCGCGGCCCCAGCCCTGTGTAATGGGGAGTGGCTGTGACCGCAGGCCGGTGAACAGGACTCAGAGGCGCGAACTCCAACGCTTTCCAAAACGGCGTCAACAGCATGGCCACGTCCTGCTAACACAATCCTGCGTCTCCAAATGTTGCGAGAAAGGTTATAAAAATTAAAGACAAAAACCCAAGAACAAACTGACGTGACTTTATTTTCATTCAACAAGACCCCACAGTATATAAGCGCACACCCTCCTGAGGTGGGGGGACGTGACACACAACTGAGCCGTGACAGCGGACACATCATGGGGCGGAGGTGGAAGGCCAGGAGAGGCTTACTAACCCTCCCGTGAGGGCTGTACAGCTCATCTGCGGTGGCCCTGAACTCGGGGACCAGAGTGCCCTTGCTCAGGCCCCGGGGCCCGTCGAGGCTCTGAGGCTTTCACGCTGCTGCCTGCTTCAGTCCTCACCACAGTGCAGGGAGGTGCCCAAGGCAAGCAGGCGCCTCACTTTGCTGAGCCTCAGGGGTGGCCCAGCCAGGCCTCCCAATCCCACCCAGCCTCTCTGGTCTTTTATCAGCCCCCAGACTTCATTCTGCACAGGCGTTAGGTGTTGGTCTCCCCTGGGAGGCACCACCGACTGGCCTTTCTCCTTTGCAGGGAAGGAAGGCGGAGGGCAGTGTGGGGACCGTGTCACCTCTGTCCTCTTGGTGCCTTGCGTGGGGCCAGGCCCACAGAGTGCTGTGAATGTGGGCAGAATGAGTGATGTGAACCATCCCAGCTGGAATTCTCCTGAGCAGATGCAGCCTCCAGATCAGAGACCTGGGATGGAGCTGCTTCCCTCCCCCCGGGCCCGGGCACACTGATGGGACAGAGAAGCAGGGGAGGTCTGCAAATGGCCCTCTGCTAGAACTCTACGAAGGCCCCAGGTGTTCACACCCCACAGCTGGCTCCAGTGTCTCATCTCCACTCCCCCTGGGGCCTGGGCTGAAGCTCCCTCCCTCAGCCACCAGGGCCCTATATCCTGTTACCACATCCCACTGCTGTTCTCTGCCCTCATCTTATCGATGGCCCAGCAGCAACTTCCCTTCTTGAACCCTCTGACTTTGCTCCCTCTACACCAAGCATCTTGGCCTCTCCTGCCTGACCACCTCTCAGGCAGCCTCTGCCCGACTCCTTGTCCCGGGCCTGCCCCTTCCGTGTGGGTCTCCTTCCACATGCCCTCGAGGGGCCCCCTTCACCACAAGCCCTCTCATCAGCACCCATGGTTTTCATTCTCACCTGCAGGCCAAAGACCCAGCTCCTTTCCTTGGCCTGCAGATCCAGCGTGGCCCCCACCACTGCATCATTTCCCCTCGGTGTCTCACAGGCAAGTGTCCCGAGCGGAACTTCTCACCTCCTCCCTAGAAAACTGATTTTCCTCTTGTTTTCCTTACCTTTGCTGGTGGCAACAGCGTTCACCCAAACGCTCAAGCAAGAAACCAGAGAACCATCCTAGCTAGCTCCTCTCCTTACCCTTCCCGTCCAATGAGTCCCCAAGGCCTGTCAACCCCACTTTCTCCTTTATCTCTGTCCTGTCCTCTTGGCACCTGCATTAGCTTCCACTGGTCCTCCCTAAAGGCAGCCTCAATGCTCTCTTCAGAGCGTATCATCTCGACCTCAGAAGCACAGACCTGATGACGTCATTTCCTCCACTGCACTGGCTCCCATCCCTCTCCCCTTGCACAGCCAACCTTGGGGACCACTGGAATATTCTCCTCCAGAGCTACCCACGTGGGGTTCCTCCTTGGGAACATGCATCCCTCTGCCTGGAAGGCACCTCCCCTTCTGCAGAGCTGGTGAACTCGTACGCATCCTTTCGTGCAAAGCCGAGACTTTCCAGAAAGCCTTTCCTGAAACCCTCCCCAACAAGGACCCCTTCCCCTGAACTGAAATCCAATTCTTCCGCTACCTCTACCACACGGAACTGTAATTCACTTGCTGACCTGTCTGCTTCTCCATTAGAGCAGGAGTTCGTTGAATGAAATTAATGATCATATTTCACTGAATCTAAGATGCCATCAATTTTAAGTTTCACTATTAAGTACCACCAAGGAAAAAACACTGCCAACTCAACCATGACATTCATTGTGTAGAGGACAAAGCCAAGCGTAGAGATGTTAATGTGAAAAACGTGTGTCTTAAATTGATGAACTGCAATCTTTACCGCTCTAGCTGTTTGTCTAACCATCCTAAACGGGTAGTGTGAAGGGGACATCATTCAGCTGGGGCAGAAAACTGGCAAACTGCGCCAGGGTGGAGCTATGGCATGGGGGCACTTCGAGGCAAGACAGGCCGTGGTGGCAGCCCTCACCTGTGATGTGCAGCTGGTGCAGCCTGTGATAGGCCAGGGCTGCATCCCGAGCACTGGTCTTAGCTTCCTCCTCAAAGCCTGCGGCAGTGGCCAGGGTGGCCCGCCGGTGCTGGAAGACCTTCTTGAGCAGCCAGCGCACCAGGCGCAGCTTCTGCAGGCTGTAGCGGATCACGTTCCAGGAGAGGCTGCAGGCCAGGTCCAGGCGGGAGGTGGGCAGTGCCCGGCCCAACACCGACAGGCAGGTTTGCAGGTTTGCAGCGGCAGCTGCAAAATCTCCCTAGCAAGAAGCAAGAAGGTGTAATGTTCGCTGGCCTTGACGTGGCCTTTTTGTTTTACTTTAACAAAAACTCTTACTTTCTCTTCACCCCTCCAGACTATTAGAGTAATACAAACTCACTGAAGAAAATCTGGGAAAATTTAGAAAGCTACAAAAAAGTAAAAAGAAATCACCTGTAATCTTATCCCCCAGAAAGAATGACTGCTGACATTTTAATATATTTCCTCCCAGTCTTTCTACTAAATTGGGATGGTACTATGTTGTATCTTCAAGCAAATACTATTCAGAATTTCAGAATTTATGTACGTAGCTTTCATACATATGGTGATGACATGGATCTAGACGATGAACGATGTGATCTTTTAGGTTCTCAAAGTGTGGTTCCCAGAGATCAGTAGCATCTTGTTAGATGCTACTGGTTTCTGGGAATCTTGTGAGAAATGTGAATTCTTGGTGCCTCACCCTAACCCTCCCCCCACCACTCCCCGACCTAATGAATCAGAGCCTCTGGGGTCAGGGCCTCTGGGTGATCCTAATGTCTGCTGACGTTTGAGAACCACAGTTTTAGGCAAATACACAGCTAAACTACTCTAACCAAGGATCTGAACAACTCTCTGCCAACCTGAGAGGGTCTAGCAGGGAGTCTACTGCCCTGTATTGAAGGCCTTTTTCTCTGTTTTTCTCATTACTGGAGGCGACACAGTCTTGAGAAACTGGAGTAAACGCTCTTCTCCTTTCCCATCACGCAGTGGGTATGATACCTGTACTTTCCTTCCTGCACCATTACAGAAAAGAGGATCCTTACAAGGGGAAAGTAGATGCCAACGCTCTGAGGATGACAATCTCTGAGGTGGTGCTGCCATCCTTCCAGCCAGGAGAAGCACCTGTGTTTACAGGTTCCAAAGGAGGTGAGCCTTTCTCTGTGTCTCCTGGCTCCTCTTCCTCGTCTTTCCCAGGAAGGTTGGCTGTTTCCAAGGCTCGGGCTTTGGCTCTTGTCTCTTCCAACTCACCAATCCAACTCGCCCTTGAGTGCCCTCCCCTGGCAGACGCACAGCTTCCGGCACACTCTGGTCCCGACCCATCTTGGCCACCACGGCCTGCCTCCTGGTTGGGAAGCTTCTCACCCTCAGGGCCCTCTCATAGCACTTTCAAGCAACACGGTTAGATGGAGCCCACCACAGCTTCCAGCCTCCCCCATCTCTGAGTCACTGTCACTGCCACTTTCCTTCCATTTCACATCCCAGGTATTTCTTGAATTCATGCCTTTCCTTTCAATTTCCAGCTCTTTGTCACCTCTCACCCAGCCTCCTCTAAGAGCACCCTCACTTGCTTCCATGCATCTGTGTCTCCCTCCTCCAACCCACCCTTCATACAGCCACCAGAATGACGTTCGTAAAACACAGCCCTGAACCTGTCTCTAGGATAAACATCTAGGGGTACGTGTCATCCTGCGTTAGGGGTGGCGCCAACAACCACACCTATATTGCAGTAGCCGCAGCCCTGGACATGGCTGACAGGTCCACTGACAGACTGGCTGGCCAAATTCTCTCTTGTGGGCTCCGCAGCTGGCAGGCGGGGAGAGCAAGCCCATGGCTACCTGCTGCCGAGGGCTGGACTGGTCCTTGCTCCTCCCGAGACACGGGTGTTTAACTCTTCCTTCCGTGCCGTGAGTTTGCCCCAGAATCCTTCCCATAAACTCCTTTGTTGATTTCAAAAGAGGATTTGCAGCAAATTTTCCTGCTCAAAAACCTTCCTGGTTCTCCAGAGAACTGGGACAAAAACCTCAAATCAGTTGCTAGTCAAATACGTCTCCAACTTGGGCCCTAGCTACACTACCAGCCTTAGCCCTCGTCTCCCCCGACATATCCTACACTCCAGACATACCCATCTACTTGCTAGTCCCCCAGAAGCCCACCTATTCCTGCCATCCTCTCCCCTTGGAAGGGCCTTCCTGCTCTTGACCACTCTGCTCACACCCCAGACTCCCAGAGCACTTTACTCTCCCGTCATATTACAGACTAGAGATCAGCTCGTGTCCGTGGAATCACTTCTGCCTAGGTGCCCTCTCCTCCGCTGCCCTGTAACTGTTGGGGGTAGGGTCCCCTCGTCCTCTTGCCCCCGGGGTATTTTTATATGCTGGGGTGTTGGAATAAGTTGCTGAGTTATGGGCCGAGCCTGGGGGAGGAAGGGGAAAGGCAGGCGGCAGGACTCACCCGGGCCAGGTCCAGGTCTGCCTGCTTCCGGTGCCTCCAGAAGGTGACTGAGGAGCGCGAATGCGGCCGGATCACTGGCTCCCCGTGGACCAGCAGCTTCACAAAGACGCTCAGGACAATCACACCGTTCACCAGCCACAAGAGAAGCGTTGGCATCATCCAGTCAAACCAGCCCGCAGAACCTAAGGAGGAGCGTCTCAGCTGAGCCCGTGGGGAAGCGCCTCCTGAAGCAGCCCTGGGAGACTGCAGGGCACCTGACTGACCCCTCACTGTGAGAGCAAAGAGCCTCCTACCTCATTTTTGGAACAAATGAGATTGCTTCATTTAGTAGCAATGTCGAAGTGCATAGGGGAGGAATAATACATGCACCTTAATCCACACTATAGCAAATTTGGGACAGTTCTACAGCCTAACTAGGAACCCTGTAGCCCTTGTCTCTATGGGGCAGGATGCCACAAAAATCTTTGTTAGCCAAGGCAGGGTTAGGCCACTGGTTTAATGACTCAGGCAGTAAGAAGACCACATCCTCCTTCAAACAGCCACACCCTCAAACCCCCAATTAAGGCAGTGCAGGGTCCTGATTTGTTTTGCTCTTTCTGACTGATCTCAGGTTTGCCCCGTTACTTCTGAAATGCGACTTATGCCAGTCCCTATCAGAAGCAAGCAGGTGGGGGCCCCCTACGAAAGCCCTTCGGGACCTGGCGGACAAGCCGAGTGGCTGCATGCAGGGCCTTCTCCTGCCACAGCAGCCCACCCAGGCCCGGGTGGCACGAGGGGCCTTCCACCTACCTGACTCGAGAGACAGCATGCTGCGGCCAGAGCCTGAGTGTGGATGCTGGTCCGAGTCGTGGGCCCCTCCCCATTGCAGCAGGGCGGTCAGGGGGTTAAAGGAGAGGCACAGGAAGGTGAGGACACACAGCAGGATTCGCGAGCGGTCCACCATGCCAAGTGCTACAGGAGGAGAGTCCGGCTCATCTTTGACCTTCAAAACAGGGGGCCACAAGGTTAGAACGAATACTGCGTGGATTTTTATAGGATTTTACTTTTATATATATCGGAATCAGATCATGAGATTTAAATTCAAGACCATTAAGTCAGATGGGAATAAAGCACTTGCCCTCTTGCCACCTGGGAGAAGAACATGTTCTAAAGACCAGAGGGACATGAGCTCTGCTTTTACAACAGAGCTCCATCACAAAAGAGGACACTCTGCAGGATTCTGTTTCTGTGTAATTCCACAACAGGCAAGCTAATCTAAAGCGACAGAAGGCAGATCAGAAGTCTCAGGCTGCAGAGACGTGTGTACACTTCCTGCAAAGTGTAAGTTCATGGGAGATAAAAATGTTCTATATCATTTTGTTCTAAACTAGAAGAGATTTATTCATTTATCATTTTGTTGTTTTTTTATAAATTTATTTATTTTTATTTTATTTATTTTTGGCTGCATTGGGTCTTCGTTGATGCGTGCAGGCTTTCTCTAGTTGCGGTGAGCGGGGGCTACTCTTCCTTGTGGTGTGCGGGCTTCTCATTGCGGTGGCTTCTCTTGTTGCGGAGCATGGGCTCCAGGCACGCAAGCTTCAGTGGTTGCCGCACGCAGGCTCGTAGTTGTGGCTCCCGGGCTCTAGAGTGCAGGCTCAGTAGTTGTGCACGGGCTTAGTTGCTCCGTGGCATGTGGGATCTTCCTGGACCAGGGCTTGAACCTGTGTCCGCTGCACTGGCAGGTGGACTCTTAACCACTGCGCCACCAGGGAAGCCCCATTTATTGTTTTTTGTTTTGTTTTGGTTTTTTTGGCTGCACCACACAGCTGATAAGATCTTAGTTCCCTGACCAGGGATCAAACCCGGGCCCTCAGCAGTGAAAGAGTGGAGTCCCAACCACTGGACCTCCAGGGAATTCCCTATTGTTATTTTTTAATTGAAGTATAAGTGACCTACAACACTATGTTGGTTCGAGGTACACAACAGAGTGACTCGATATTTTCATACATTACATCAGCTCCATGGTAAGTCTAGTTACCATCTGTCACCATACAAAAACACTACGATACTATTGACTATATTCCCCATGTTGTATATTTCACCCTTGTGACATTTATTTTGTAACTGGAAGTTTGTAGTATCTTTTTTTTTTAATTTTTTTTTTTAGTTTGTAGTATCTCTTAACCTCCCTCACCTATTTCACTCACCCTCCCAACTCCCTCCCCTCTGGCAATCACCCATTTGTTCTCTGTATCTACCAGTCTGTTTCGTTTTGTTGTGTTCGTCCATTTGTTTTGTTTTTTAGATTCCATATATAAGTGAAATCCTATGTATTTGTCTTTGTCTGACTCATTTCACTTAGCATAATACCCTCTAGGATCACACATGGTGTGACAACATCTCATTCTTTTTTACAGCTGAGTAACATTACACGGTATATATATATATATATATCACATCTTCTTTATCTACTCATCTATCTGTGGGCACTTAGGTTGCTTCCATATCTTGGGTTATTGTAAATAATGCTGCAATAAACATAAGGGTGAACATTACTTTTTGAATTAGTGTTTTTGTTTTCTTTCAGAAAAATACCCAGAAGTGGAATTGCTGGATTGGATGGTAGTTCTATTGCAAATTTTTTGAGGAACCTTCCTACTGTTTTCCATAGTGGCTGTATCAATTTTCATTTCCACCAATAGTGCATGAGGGTCCCCTTTTCTCCACATCCTCACCAACACCTATCATTTTCTGTCTCTTTTATTACACTTAGCATAATACTCTCTAGGTCCATCCACGTTGTCACAAATGGCAAGATTTCACTCTTTTCTTATGGCTAATATTTCATTGCATATATACCACGTCTTCTTTATCCATTCATCTATTTCTGGGCACTCAGGTTGCTTCCTTATCTTGGCTATTGTAAATAATGCTGCAACGAACACAGGGGTGCATATGTCTTTTTTTTTTTTTTTTTTTTTAATATTTTTTTCTTTGGCTGTGCCGGGTCTTAGTTGTGGCATTCAGGATCTTCGTTGCTGCATGTGGGATCTTTTTAGTTGCGGCATGAGAAATCCTAGTTGTGGCATGCAGGATCTAGTCCCCTGACAAGGGATTGAACCCATGCCCCCTACAATGGAAGCTTGGAGTCCTGACCACTGGACCACCAGGGAATTCCTGATGTTGAGCATCTTTTCATGTGCCTGTTGGCCATTTATATGTCTTGCAAAAATCTCTATTCATGTCTTCTGCCCATTTTAAAATTGTTGTTTGTTTGGGGGGTTTTCTGATGTTGAGTTGTACGACTTCTTTGAAAATTTTGGATACTAACCCCTTATTAAATTGTTTGCAAATACCTTCCTCCATTCAGTAGGTAGCCTTTTAGTTTTGTTGGTAGTTTCCTTTGCTGTGCAAAAGGTTTTTCTTTTGTTTTTTTTTAGGGTTACATCCGTCTACTCTCTTTTTTTTCTTAATTTATTTTTATTTTTAGCTGCGTCAGGTCTTAGTTGTGGCACGCAGAATCTTTTTGTTGTGGTGCGCGGGCTCCCCGTTGTGGCGTGTGGGCTTCTCTCTAGTTGTAGCCCGTGGGCTTCTCTCTAGTTGTGGCGTGTGGGTTTTTCTCTCTCTAGTTGTGGGGCGCAGGTTCCAGAGCACTTGGGCTCTGTAGTTGTGGCGTTTGGGCTCCAGAGCGCATGGGTTTTGTGGTTTGTGGTATGCAGCCTCTCTAGTTGAGATGCGTGGGCTCAGTAGTTGTGGCGCATAGGCTTAGTTGCCCAGTGGCATGTGGGATCTTAGTTCCCCAACCAGGGATCGAACCCGTGTCTCCTGCATTGGAAGGCAGATTCTTTATTTACCACTGGACCACCAGGGAAGTCCCAATGCAAAAGCTTTTTAATTTGATGTAGTCCCATTTGTTTATTTTTGCTTTTGTTCCCCTTGCCTGAGGAGACACAGCTCCCCCCAAATTGCTAAGACCAGATTTCCCTGGTGGTGCAGTGGTTAAGAATCCACCTGCCAATGCAGGGGACACAGGTTCGAGCCCCAGTCCGGGAAGATCTCACATGCTGCAGAGCAATGAAGCCCATGTGCCGCAACTACCAAACCTGTACTCCAGGGCCTGCAAACCACAACTGCTGAGCCCGTGTGCCACAACTACTGAAGCCCGTGCGCCTAGAGCCTGTGCTCCGCAACAAGAGAAGCCACAGCGATGAGAAGCCCATGCACCGCGACGAAGAGTAGCCCCCGCTCGCTGCAGCTAGGGAAAGCCTGCACACGCAACAACAAAGACCCAACGCGGCCAAAAATAAATAAATTAAAATTAATTAATTAATTTTTAAAAATTGCTAAGACCAATAACAAAGAGCATACTGTCTATGTTTTCTTCTGGGAGTCTTATGGTTTCAGGTCTTACATTTAAGTCTTTGATCTATTTTGAGTTTATTTTTGTAGATGGTGTGAGAAAGTAGTCCAGTTGATTCTTCTGCATGTAGCTGTCCCATTTTCCCAGCACCATTTATTGAAGAAGCTGTCATTTCCCCTTTGTATATTCTTGCCTCCTTTGTCATAGATTTAAGTATGGGTTTGTTTCTAGGCTCTCTATTCTGTTCCATTGATCATGTGTCTGTTTTTGTGCCAGTACCACACTGTTTTGATTACTGTAGTCTGAAATCACGGAATGTGCTACCTCCAGCTCTGTTGTTCTTTCTCAAGATTGTTTTGGCTATTTAGGGTCCTTTGTGTTTCCACATAAATTTTAGAATTATTTGTTCTAGTTCTGTGAAAAATGTCTTTGGTATTTTGACAGGGATTGCACTGAATCTGTAGGTTGCCTTGAGGAATATGGTCGTTTTACCGGTATTAATTCTTCCAACCCATGAGCACAATATACCTTTCCATCTGTTTGTGTTGTCATCAATTTCTTTCATCAATGTCTTATAGTTTTTCCAGTACAGGTCTTTTACCTACTTGGTTAGATTTATTCCTAGACATTTTCTTCTTTTTGATGCAATTGTAAATGGGATTGTTTTTCATTTCTCTTTCTGATACTTTGTTGTTAGTGTATAGAAATGTAACAGATTTCTGTATATTAATTTTGTATCCTGCAAACTTACTGATTTTATTAGTTCTAACAGTTTTTTGAAGGTGTCTTTAGAATTTCCTATATATAGTATCATGTCATCTGCAAACAGTGACAGTTTTTTTTTGTTTATTTATTTATTTTTGGCTGCATTGGGTCCTTGTTGCTGCGTGCGGGCTTTCTCTAGTTGCAGCAAGTGGGGGCTACGCTTCGTTGCGGTGCGCAGGCTTCTCATTGCGGTGGCTTCTCTTGTTGCGGAGCATGGGCTCTAGGTGTGCGGGCTTCAGTAGTTGTGGCACACGGGCTCAGCAGTTGTGGCTTGCAGGCTCTGGAGGGCAGGCTCAGTAGTTGTGGCACACAGGCTTAGTTGGTCCGCGGCACGTGGGATCTTCCCGGACCAGGGATTGAACCCGTGTCCCCTGCATTGGCAGGAAGACTCCCAACCACTATGCCACCAGAGATGCCCAACAGTGACACTTTTACTTCTTCCTTTCCAAACTGGATTCCTTTTATTTCTTTTTCTTGTCTGATCACTGTGGCTAGGACTTCCAATTCTATGTAGAATAAAAGTGGTGAGAGTGGGCATCCTTGCCTTGTTCCTGATCTTGGAAGAAATGCTTTCAGCTTTTTACTCTATATCTTGATTACTGTGAGTTACATAAGCGTATACACTTGTTAAAACTCATCATACTGCACGATACAGTAAAATAGGTGCACTGTATCACATATAAATTACACCTCAAAGTTGATTAAAGACCATACTTTAGTATGAACCTATTTACAGAAGCTTGCTTATTCTTTTTTTTTTTTTTTAGCCGCACCACACAGCTAATAGGATCTTAGTGCCCCAACCAGGGATTGAACCTGGGCCTTCAGTGGTGAAAGTGTGGAGTCCTAACCACTGGACTGCCAGGGAATTCCCAGACGCTTGCCTATATCTAAAACCACAACATTGTTTTGTTTTCTCCCCAGTTTTACAGAGGGAGAACTGGAGGCAGAGGCCCTGCCTGCCCAGGGAGCCTAAGGAGGGAGGGAGACTGGAACCAGATCTCCGCTGACTCCCAGGGTGTACATCCCACACAACTTGTTTTCAGTATTTTTAAACCATTTGAAAATTTCTTCTAAGGATTCAGACACCTATCTAATTCAACGTATATGTCACGTGGCCTTTTGTTACCAAGCAGAATCACATTTATAAAATATTTCAAAAATAGAGCTTCCTTAATAAAATTAAGTACATGATACAATAAATGGTCTGATCAAAAACTTATGCTAAGGGCTTCCCTGGTGGCACAGTGGTTGGGAATCCGCCTGCCAGTGAAGGGGACCCAGGTTCGAGCCCTGGTCCGGGAAGATCCCACATGCCAAGGAGCAACTGGGCCCGTGCACCACAACTACTGAGAGCCTGCGCTCTAGAGCCTGTGCTCCGCAACAAAAGAAGCCACCGTGGTGGGGGGCCCGTGCACCGCGACGAGGAGTGGTCCCCGCTGGCCGCAACTAGAGAAGGCCCTCGCGTAGCAATGAAGACCCAACGCAGCCAAAAATAAACAAATAAAATAAATTAAAAAAAAAAAAAAAAACTTACGCTAGAAGGGAACTCTGTGCTTTTGAGGCCAGAAACTAACTGCCAATGTCAAAATACAGCACAAACCCCAGTGGTCTCCACAGGCTCCTGGGAAGATCATTAGGCTTGAGCCTCTTTTAACGAATTCCATTAAACAAGAATTGCCAGGGGCTTTCTTCCACAATTAAAGGCCCTTGGTAGGAATGTTATCTGTTAGACTGCAAACTGTAATCATTTCCCAAAGAGGACCCAGAGGCAGCATCATCCTAACCCAACTGATCAAACTCACAAAGTGGTCTTGCCAGGCTCATTATGGGCGAGGGAAGCGATGAGGTGCCTCCAGCAACTCCTGGCTCCGCACAACAGCCGCTGTGTGTTCCCATGCTGGATTTGGCCATTATTCCCCTCTGATGGGCCCTTTCAGCAAGGACCAGTAAAACCGGAGGTTGTATCCCCATAGAGTCAGCTTTCTTTTTCTTTATTCTCCAGTACGTGGCTAATTTCACAGAATTCTCGTTCCTCTCCAGCCCAGGGCCTCTGAACACCTGACCTGGACCGCTGTCTGCAGCCTCCCCACTATTAACTTCGGGGAGATGGGAGAGATTCCAGGGGTCAGGGGATTTCAAAAGCTCATTACCTTTGCGTCATCCAATAGAGGGCTTCCTGGCTCAGAGTCGATGGAGTAGGGGGAGAAGCCTGCCTGGGACCCTGAGTCGGAGGCCGGAGGCGACATCAGAAGGACATTCTGATTAAAGTCATCGATCTTCAGGTCCACGTCATTGTCCACCAGGCTGCCTAGGTCAATGCCCTTCAAGAGCTCTGTAAAGAAAACCCTACCTGGCAAACGGTCCGTTTTATAGCACCCCACCTGGGCTGGAGTTGGGCTAGGTGAGGGATGCACAGCCCCTGCTCCTGCTTCACTCCTGAAGGCACCTTTTACACAACAGTGGACCCTGCCCGGTGCCCAGCACAGGACTTCTACTATAACCGGAAAGTCTGAAACCCTTTTCTCAACGAGCACACTTACTGTTCTTCTGATTTGCCAGTTTCAGCACCATGTTCTCCTGGCGCAGTTTATGATTGACTTGCTGCAAGTATTTGATGTAGTCAATGGCCTTCCTCAGAACGCCAGACTTGTGCATCTGGGAAGGAAGACGGGTGAAAAACACGGTGGCGTCAGACCAGCTTGCAGTGAAGAGAGCAGAGGCCCAGAGCTCGGGCTCTGGAGTGGGAGGTGCTGAGTTCAGATGCTGACTCTCCCACTACTTAGCTGTGCAACCCAGGACAAGTTACTCAACATCTCTGAACCTCACTTTCCTCCTCCGTGAAATAGGGATAATGATAGTATATGAGTCATAGGCTTGCCATGAGGATTAAATGAGCTAATATGTGTAAAGAGTTTAGCCTCTGGCCTGGCACACAGTAACACTATATATTAGCTGTTACTCCTACTTCCTATGATAATCCTAGCATCAAAACAAACTTTAAGGAAAACAAATGACAAACAAAAAACCAGAGTACTGTTGGCTGGTTATCTTAAGTAAAGGTATATTAGTACCTTTCAGATTTGTAGGCTACAAGGAAAATTATATTTTCTTTCAAAATAGAGGTAAAGATAAACAGACAACAGGTAAAAAAAAATCTCCTATGTGCCAAAGCCAAAAGGTACATTCATTGAAACACCAGAAATTTATGAAAAACCAATTTCCTCTATTTGTTCTTTGTCAAAGATCCAATCTCCATTTTTCCTCCTCCCTAAAAGGTTAAAATATTGTTAGCCATCCCTGAATACAATTAAACATATGCCAAAAATGCCATCAGCTGCCTCAGATGTACACACGATTGTGTATCTGGCCATCAGTGAGCAGTAGGTGTCTGCGACACGGTGGTGGTAGTGGAGGTGGTGGTGGCCACCACCACTGCAGAGCAGACTCAAAGGTCCAGGCAGGCCACGGCCTTACCAACACCCAACAGTTAATATTTTATAATCCTGGAATTTCAAAACACCAAGATGCTTTAGTAAGAGAGCACCTTTAACTATTCTTGCATTCACTCAGCCTGGGCCTGGGTCTTCCCTAAATTCCTGCAGCAAAGACAGATAGAGGGGAGATGATGGGGCATGAAATAACATTTTGCTTGGCACCTACCTTGGCATCTGTCCCCATGACCAGGTCCTTCAACTCAATGATTTTGTCATTGATGGAGGAGCGATACCGCTTCTCAATGATGTTGTGTGTCGTCCTCCTTTCTCCTTCCTTGGGGGGCTCGAGCTGCTTGACTCCTCCAGGTACCTGCTTAATGGGCACTTTCTCTTGTCCCATCATCACAGGCATTGTGGTCAGAATGGTCCCATTGCTGCCCACCAGGGTCTAGAACAGACACAAGGGCAGAATGACCACTTGGTTAGTCTGAGTAAAGCAACCTCGCAACACAAACCCACTGGCCCTGGCCACGTGGCATCACCTGAAAACGCTGTATAGCCTGACACCCTTCCTGGGTTAATTAAGTCCAGAAGCCTTAGGAGCCGTGGTACCTCAGGTACTGTGCCCCTTTCAGAGTCACTGTTGATTAGTCATGTGCCACAACAGCATTAATGTGGATACACACCAACCTTTGATGTAGGGATGCCAGAAACACGTCATGTGATTCCTGCTTTGCTGTCGACCCATTAGCCACCTCTGAGCTCGCATACAATGCACCAACCACAGAACTTTCTCCTGGTGTATGGCACGTATTTTCCTCTCACATGACGGTGAAGTTAACTTACTGCATTTCCTTATACGATTTGCCCATCAAAAAGCTCAAGGGCAGAAGTGAAAATCAGAGCCATTTTATTAAACAGACCAACTAGAGAGGCTTCCCCTTGTTTTCCCCTCAAATCTGCTTTGCCTGCTCTTTGTTTCTGTTTTCACTACTTTTAGTTTTATTTTCTTCAACGAATGGCCTCAATATCCAAATGGCCAATGAACACACAAAAAGCTTCTTAACTTCGTTAGTCATCAAGAAATAACTCACACATAGTAAAAAGCACACAGTTTAAGTGTACAGCTTAATGGAATTGTGATGTATGCATACAATGTGTGTAACCAAGGTAACCCTGACCAAGACACAGACCATTTCTATCCCCTTAGAAAGTTCCCTCATGCCCCTTCCCCCAGAGCAGTAATCATGCTCTGACTTCCAGCACCATCTTCCTGAACTCTGTATAAATGGAATCATCAGCAGGAACTCTCTGTGATAAGCATCTTTTGCTCAGTGTACTATTGTTGAGGTTTAGCCACGTAGTTGTATGTATCAATAGTTCTTTTTGGATGGATAGTTGGGTTGTTTCTAGTTCTTGGCTTTTATGAGTAAGGCTTGCTTTTGAATTCTGATCACTTTTTCTCTCAGACTCTCTTGCCACAAGATGAGACAGTGGCCAAGACCCTACAACTGAAGTATGGGTGCCTTTCATGTACCCCACCTTGGAGCCCCTCCCTTCCTGGGGGGCCTAGGGTCCTTCAGAAGCTAAACCTCCATCAGCAGGACCTAAGAGGCAGATGGTCCTGTGTGGAGCTGTTGCCCAGAAACTGGGGCTCCTCTGCTGTTCCTCTCTTGCCCCTCATAAACCCTAGTACTCCCACATAACATTCAGTGCTGGTACTTCTTAAGGGAAAAAAAACCTAAAATGGGGTAATTTTGCAATCTGACACACTGCATAGAGCTGCCACATCTATTCAGTATCTGGAGGCTTCGTTACCATCTCTGAGGCCTAAAACCCCCAAGAAGTGGGGGTGGGGTGGGGGGCAGCTCTTACCGGAACTTGAAGGGCAGCTGTCTGGATGGGGGTGGTGAGGGCAGTGAGGGCTGGGTTCTGGACTGCGGCCATCACAGGGCTGCCATCTGTCTTCAGTGTGGTCAAAACAAGGGAATCTGTCTTGATGATCTGAGGCTGTACCAGGACCTGGATGGAAAAGGAAGAAAAGGAAAAGGAAGGTAGCATTACTTTTCTATTTTGCATTACTTCTTCCTGTACAGACCCTCCAGAAAAGAATGAGAAAATAAAATTTTCATAAAACTGAGAATGTAGCTTGATTACTGGGTTGCCGGGGAGAAGGCGTACAGCTAAAGAGGGTCTGGGTTGGAAGGCTGAAAGGCTTTGAGGAGAGCAATGCCAGCGGCCTAGCCGGGGCAGAGCAAGCATGGCTCGGGTGGACAGTGGAAGGAAGAGAGACCTGATTGTGGACAAACTTAGGAATGTGAGGAAAAGAGCTGGGAAGCAAAAATGGTAAAACTGGATTGTTTTTTAAAGCTAACTTACTTCATTAGTTAGAAATACAGTCCACTATGATACACACCTTAAGAACATTCTGGCACATTTCTTTTCAGTTTTATACCCATTACATGTGTAAATGAGTTAATACACCAGCATTTACTGAGTTTAGGTGGGTGCCAGTGTGCATTTGCAGACGTCTTCTCTGCCAGGTCTCACGGGTGTCTCGTAAGGTCCAGGTGCCCCTACCTGCCCTGCAAGCTACTCCCTCACACTCCGCTGGTCCTGCTTAGCACGTAGACCACATCTTCAACCACAGGCCGGCCAAGAGCCCCAACCAAGGCCTCCCTGAATTCTTGTCAGCCACCTACCGGGACCTGCTGCACCTGGGGCGCAGCAACTGTCTGCACCGTGGCTGGGGCGAGGGTCTGCAGCGTGCCATTGGCTGTCTGCGTCAGCACCCGCTGGGCCTGCACCGTCTGCACCTGCTGCTGGATGGTGACCGGCTGCACCTGGGAGGATGTCACTAGGCTTTGGACTTGAGGCTGAAGGACTTGGGAAAAGAGAAGAAAAAAAGTCACGTGGACGAGGAATGCATTCTGTCACCGTAGCTGTGGCAATAACCGAGGCTGGAGTGCCTCCTAACGATCCCAACTCCCCACCTGTTGCTGAAGAAGATGTGCACAGCCATTTACAAGCTGGTCTAGATGACAAGAACATCCCATAAGGGCTGCATCAATTTCTGAGGGAACGAGTACAAATTATTTCATTACTCCGATGCTGGGGTGGAGGTGAGAGAAGCTAATCAGCAAGTGACTGCACCCAGCAAGGGAGTTAGCAGGTGTTGAGAGCCAACTCCCTGGGGCTTCATTTCCTCCCGTGAAGTGAATGGAAGGTACACTTTGGGATGAGGGTCTCAGCTTCTCGCTTTGTGGCCTCCCCCCAGCCCCTAAACCCTTGAAGCCCATTAAAGACCTGTCAGATTCTTTGAAATTAGTAGAGCAATACTAACCCCACCCAGGGGTCCCCACAGGGTCAGAGAGCAATCTGATGAAAAGGTGCTGGGACACAGCACAACACAGAAAGTCCCTCATTCACTCAGCACACACCGAGGGCCTACTGTGAGGCCCGCCAGTCGGAGACACGGCACCTATGTTAACAGGAGTACTCTTCTCTGCAGTGGACGCTCAGGAGATGTCTCCTGGATGAATGGTTCTCAACCTACAGGTGCTGAGATCTTCCTGGTACCTGGGTGAGTTTCAAGACTAATTTTATTCAAGCTCCCACCTCTAGTTACCAGGACATCCCTGTGGCTACTGTGCCCGCTGGAGTCTCTGACCACGTATCCTTGAAACAGGCACAGTAGACATTAAGGTATTTGAAGAGACCGAATGTGTTCCTGTACCACTATGCTTACGGCCAGCTACTGAAACCTCATTCAGACAGGGCCAAGTTGATAGGCTGTGTCATCCCCAGAGAGGACAGAACTATTTACAGTCTACCTCGGAAGTGTCTGCAAACTGGCACAAAAACTTCTGAACCAACCAATCGCTATTACATCTGAGTTCTGAGTCACCTTGAAAGCTGGTAGCTGCGTTCTGGTATATCAAAGGCTGCTGGATGATCCTCGTCTGGGGAGCGGTGCTGAATGTCGGGGTGATCATTACTGTCTGCTGCTGCAGCTGAGCTGGAGGCTGGGGCTGGGGCTGGGGGCGGGGCTGAAGAACGGGAGTTGCCCTTGGCGGAGGGGGAACCGCGGTGGGGGGAGCCTTGACTTGTAGGGCTGGAGCCTGGGGGGAGGTAGCCGAGGGCGAGAAGGAAGGTAACGGGACCTGGCTGAAGGACCGCTGCACCGAGGGGTCCCCGGCTCCGGCTCCGCCACTGCTGCTGCTGCCATTGCTGCTGCCGCTGTTGCCACTTCCACCACCGCCAGGGAAGGAGCTGCACAGCTGCTCTGAGAACAAGTCAGGGAACTCTCCCACTTGATTGCTGACAAACTGCAGCATCTCTGTGAGCAAATGGAAAGGAGTAATTCTACTGCCAACCAAAATATCTATTAACTTTCAAATTTGCTTAAGAAACCGAGGCATGAAAATCCAATAGCTTTCCCAAGACACTGCAGAGATGGGTCGCCTCTCTCTCATGGGGGAGTGGGACAGGACTTCACTTGCTTGATGCTCTTCTCCCTCCTCACCACCTCCAGGCTTGTTCTACCCACTTTCCTCATTGTCTGTACCAGGCCTAAGAGGAGCTACCTCTGTGCTGGGTGAATGTTCCTCTTGGAGGGTACGGCTGGTTGCATTTTACGGTTGGGGTATTGCTGTCCTGAGTCTTTGGAGCTCAGCAGCCTTGTACTGTGAGGCCACCTCCAGTCTCAGCACTGCTTCCCATGGCAGGGGAGTCCCCAGACCCCAACTCTCCTCACCACAGGCAGACTCTGGGCCTTCTCTCCAAGATGGGCATATCCCTGGGCACTGTTGGTACCCTCAGGAACACTCGGGGATGATAAAGTTGATGGCCTCCAAGTCATGGAACTTTAGAGGTGGAATGGATGGAAAGATGATACACGAAGTCCAGGACAGGGAAATAACTCGGCCAAGGTCACACAGCTCATCGGGGCACAGCAAGGATTAGAACCAGTTCTCTGCCTCCCAGCCTCGCCTTCTTCGACTGTACCCCAGTGCCTTCACTGTCAGAAGGTCAGGGCAGAACAGCCCAGGCCCTGGACCCCTCTGGCTGTGCCCCTTTCCTCTGGGCAAGGAGCCTGTGGAGCCAAGGGGATGTGTGCGCTGAAGACCATGCCGCCTTCTATTGGCAGATCATGCTCCAAGTACCCGGGACCCCTAAATTCCCAGCCTAGAGGGCCTCTTCCCCTGCTTCATCCTCCCAATGGTTCACCCAAATCGAACTTAATCCACAACTAACAACTCATCTCTCATGACTCCTTCCTCCCCGTAGGGCTGCTCCCCATTAGGAGTCTGGGGCCTCAACTTTGACCCAGGTATGTTCAGATCTACAATTCTCTCCCCTGTCCACATTCTCTCCCCTTTCCTCTCCAACACATTCCCAAAAAGCTGCTGCTTGTTCCTAAACTCCGGCACCCTCCTCTCAAAACCCTCAAGGCTGCAGGATGCTCTGATTTGGTTACCAAAAAGAAAAAACAAACAAAAACGAAAAACAAAGCCCCCAAACACTGTCTCCATTCATTCGTCAAACCTCCACCAGCAAGTCCCTCCCAGGTTTCTAGCAGTGTGTGTGTGTGTGTGTGTGTGTGTGTGTGTGTGTGTGTGTGTGTG